CCGTTAATATAATATCCCCCTATAATAAAATATTATATGATCCAAACGCCCCCTTACTAATAAAATTTTAGGACAGTAATGCCCTTGTTATCTAAACAATTTCAAGAAGTTTCATGGACAATTTTAGCCTTATATACAAGATTTTTAAGACATTATTACCTTTGCACTTCAACCAGATTACCCAAGACCATAGCCAGATCTGGCCACCACCACCAGTCGCCGCCAATAGCTGTTGGAACGATGCACAATCAATCAGATCTGACCATGGATCTAGCCCGAAACGACCAAATCCATGGGCATTAATGGCCATAGATCTATTCTAGTTGGAATAGATCTAGTCATAGATTTGAAAAAAAAATGGTATATCTTTGATCTTACAATGTAAAGACCAAAAAGTCCTTCTGAGGTTAATTTTAATAGACTTAATACTATTATACTAACGGTAGGAGATTACTTGATAATTTACAAAAGTTATGGGTGCGTTTATATTTCATTAACCCTTTTGTTTGAAGTTGATTAAGACTTCACTTGAGTAAAAATATTTATAGGATTAAAACTTCATTAGTCAAACATGAAAGTTGAGATGGCCGAGTTGGTCTAAGGCGCCAGATTAAGGTTCTGGTCCGAAAGGGCGTGGGTTCAAATCCCACTCTCAACAGTTTCTCTTTTCATTTTATGTTCTTCTTTCGTAACCTTAAATTTTTAATTATTCTGTCACAAGAGTGCTAGTTTATATTTAACTCAAACAATGTTATTCTTTTTTAAATTTTCAAATTGCACATTAAATGACAAGAAGCTAAAAGAAAAACTGACAATTAAGAATTAAGACTTTGAATATATTACTTAAAATGTCATGAATTTGATCTATGAGTTGCTAATAAGGGTTTTCACTGAGGAGATTTACTGAGTTGTCAATTTCAAAGTCTTGAAGAATTAGTTAAGGTGTGGATAAACTGACCTATACACCTCGTCACCGAAAAAAAAAAAAAAAGACAATATTGATTGCATTTTAGCTTTAGAATTGATTCAATGCAAGATAGAATCAAGAGAAAATAAAAACAAAGAGACAAAGACGACTACTATTAATCACGTGAGATGATTGAAAAAGCATTACACTTAATTTTCCAACTTTGTGTCAAAATACTACCTATCCACATATTATAGAATTTTCTTTTATCATAATTTGACCACTTTTTAATTAAAATTAATGGTGATTGGTGAATATATAGAAGTTTTAATACAGTATTATTCATTATTTATATAGCTTATGGATTGATCATTATGTATCATATATTTTAATTTAATTTGTAAATACAGATAAAATACTGAATATGTGCATATTACATTTAATTTTACATAATTATATCTCTTCCCATAAAATTCAAGTAATCTCTTCGATTATATATTGTTGAAAAATGAATGTCTATATATATATATATATATATAGACACACAAAAATTCTCAGGACATTTTCAAATTTTAACATGCAGACAAAAAGGTAAGTGTTTGGTAACTGGCTTCTGATTTTATAGCTCGTGAAGTTAGTGACCAGATGTTCACGTTTTGTTTTCATATTAAAAATTTAAGGATGCCTGCACTAGAGATATATAATTAAATGATAATTAAAACAATTTATCATATTTAAATGTGAACAAGCCATGGATGGATTTGAGTTTTGAAAAGGTATAAAGATTGGAGGGAATGTAAAGAGTTTTAGGTTTGGGAAGATAAATGTAGAGTCTGAGTTTATATTAGGATTTATTTTAATTTTTATATGAAAGAGCATTTTTGTTCTTCACAAAATGGGAGGGCTATAGGGTTATGTATATGTAATACAAGGGGTGTTCAGTTTAAGTACTCTACATTTTTTTAAGGAATCGAAACCGGAACCGACGGTTCTGGTTCTTGGGTACCCAAAATCTAAACTTGTAACAATGGTTTTGATTCCAGTTTCGGGTCAGGGTTCCTGGGAAAATTATTTAACCTCCCAAAAGTTTATAAAATAACAAAAAAAAAAAAAAACCTTTAAAACTTACAAATACACCCCCAAGCACTTGTTAACAAAAAATAAAATTACAAATACATTGAAAAATCATAAATTCAAAATTACAAACTCCAAAATTAAAATTATACACTCCACTCTTTAATGTTATTTCATACTAGTCTCAGTTTCGGTTCTGATTCTTGACTATAGGAACTGGAACTGGAACCGCACAGTATCAGTTCCAAATTTTTGAAACTAAAACCTACCCCTTAACGGCCGGTTCCAGGTAGGAACAGGAACCAAAGCCTGGATACTCGCCGGTTCCGATTCTGATTGACTCTTTAGAACACCCTTATGTAATACTATAAAGGAAATGATTTTTAGCCCCCATCTTCTACTTCAAGCGAGGGTATAATTGTAATAAAAAATTTCCTCCATACTTTTATTTCAAAACTTTTAATTTGCATTTAACCAAAAAATTAAAATAAATTTAGTTCAATCATAATTTCATAAGTAAATTAAAGTTTATTGTATTAATTATCAAAACTTCTAAATGTTTCTCCTTTTCTTTCATGTCTCATATCCTTCTAGACTTAAGCAAATAAAACTACTCTTTAATCTTCTTTTGAAGCGTTCTTTATTAGTTTTCTCTTCTTCTTCTTATTTATTTTTTATTTTTTGTTTTTCTATCTTAAGTTTTATATTTTGAAGAACTGTTATGAATTAAATTGTTTAAATTTAAGGTGATGATACAATAAAAAATTACTAGAATCAAATGAAGTGTTTATGTTTTTTGTTTTGTTTTGTTTTTTTTTTTTTTTTTTAGAGTTGACAACTTTATAGAAACATAAGATATTAAAAGATTTTAGATTTTAAGTAAATTAATGAGTATTGTTGATACAAAAAACCGCATCAACTTAATAGATATGATTGACCCTAATGAAATTGGAATGGATTAACGCATGATTTTAATAATTAGCTAGGGAAATGAAATTAAAAGACAAAGCTCTTTTTAAATGGTTCAACGAGCTAACTCTCAAGTTTACGTTCACTATTTTTGTATTAAATATGAAGGATTACAAGAGTAAACACTCTTTTGTCTCTCTAATTTGGCTAACCCTTTATAATGAGTTTTTTGTGTTATTTATACACGAAATTGATAAGGGTGAGTGGAGTAATTTTAGGGATTACAACTTAAACATAGGAGATAATCCTCTCCTTAATATTAGGAGATAAGACTCATCTATAATATGTGAGACAATTGTTAGTTAGTTAGCTCTGCCACTTATTGCGAACTTGTTGTAAGTTCTCGCACAACAAGTATACGTAGATCCTTTGTAACTTCCCAACTGCCGTTTATTGCGAACTTGTTGTAAGTTCTCGCACAACAAGTATACGTAGATCCTTCCTAACCTCCCAACTGCCACTTATTGCGAACTTGTCGCTTGTTCTTGCAAAACAAGTATACGTAGATCCTTCCTAAATTTTTTAATATGTATAAAAAATAATTGTTAATATTTTTTGAAATATTATTACACCCCTAAGAAGGTGAGAAGTAAAGAAGAAAAAGACGGGAGATAGAAATCACTTCTCTATTTTATATATTTAATGCTTGTGAATGGGCTAATTGGTAATTAAAGTTCAGAGGCTGAATTATGTGAGGTTCCGTTCCGTGTGTGATCAAACTCTTAGGAAGATACAAATAAGATATTTAAAATAACAAGACTAATTAGAAGAAGAAATTAAAAGTGGCAGGAGCAAAGTGACAAGTTGCATGTATTCTCATGTGATATGCAGAATATATATATATATATATATATTTGGGTCTTCCTAATTTACCAGTCTTCATTTGAAAATTTGCAAATGTTTGGTTGAGATCGACATAGCCATTAGCAAAGAAGTTTAATCCTAATTAATTGTCGATTAAAGTAAAGTACTACATCAATCAAAGAGCTTAATTATTAAATTGGAATTCAATCTGTACAGCTGTTTAGTGGGCAAGTTGAAGGATTATTTATACGAGTTGTCTCTCAACCTTCTTGTTTAATAGACCATCCCTGGAACTGGAAACATGTGCCCGTGAAAGGTGAAAGCAAATATCACATAAAAGAAGGTCAAAACCTTCAAACTAAAAAAGAAAGATTTGTGGCTTCATGTTTTGGCTACCCCATCTAAATTTAATATCGAGGGTATTTTGAAATCATAAAAATTATATACAAATTTTGGTAAAAGAGAGGGAAGAAATAATGTGTGGTTTGAGGTGGTTGAATAAATTCTTCAAAGTCAAAACGAACATGCAGATTATTATCTATCATAAATGGTAATGAATAAAGCAAGCTGTCCATTTCCTCTCAAAATGGTCAACTCTTTAAATTTATTACATTACATATATAGAAGATAAAAATCAATTCATCAAATTCTGTTTATTTACTTATTACATAGAATATAATAACGTTTTATGTACAATGCATTTGGATCTTAGAATACATAATTAGACGAGACGATGGTAATTACTAATTATATATGCAATCTATAGAGACGAGTACCTTAATTAATAACAGATAAAAGAGGATATATATATATACATCAATTTTCAAATATAATGTGAAAAGAGCAGTTGAAATGCAGTGCCCAAATATAGCCGGAGCCGAACTCAACGATTAATTTTGTAGCTGTTCTTGAACATTGGTTTGACTTCTGCTCGTGGGTGTTGGTTGACCTCTACATTTTTATTTATTATCGTTTCAAAGAGATAGCCTAACCCCAACCAACGTTCAATCACTTTTGTTGGTTAGTTATATTTAGAAATTAGGTCATTTATCAGTAACCAGAGCAGTTGAAGATTTATTTTTTTGTTTGAATTATACAGAGATTAAGCACAAAATTTCCTTCTCTTGAGATACGCATAGACGTGTTATTATTGTTTTCTTATTTTTGAAGCTCAATTCTCACTTTTATATTACATTTTTATTATAAACTTGATCTTCCCTATCATTCTCATTTGGTCCAACATGTTTAACCTAATATTATATATTCATAACTTGCTGACCATAAACCTTTATACACTTTCATAGCCACTTGAAATCTCAACTCAATCCTCATTTCTCTGCACTTTCCGCCATGAAAACGCCAACCGTTAACTCGGTCACTCATCCTTCTTCAACTCACTTCCTCCTTTTTGTATTCTCCATTCTCTTCGCATATGCATGTCAAAGAACTGAAGCCACTGCACAGGAGCTCCTCAAGGGATTCAAAGCAACGCCAAACGCTTCAGTCTCGTCATTTCAAGCCCTTCTCAGCGATTCAACTGACACTTTCTCACTCGGTTTCCTCCGAGTCAACTCAAAAGAACTTGCTCTCGCTGTCCTCCACGTGCCCTCTTCGGAACAACTCTGGCTCGCCAACCCAACTCAGTTGGCGCCATGGTCAGACCGTACTCAACTTTTCTTCAATGGCAGTCTTGTATTATCCGGTCCACGTGAGAGGTTATTTTGGTCAACTGAAACTCAAGGTGACAGAGTTGTACTTCTCAATTCCTCGAATTTACAAGTACAAAAACTTGACGAATATGTCTCCATTCTCTGGCAAAGTTTTTACTTTCCCACAAACACCCTTTTAGAAAACCAAAATTTCACGAGCAACATGTCGCTTGTTTCTTCAAATGGACTCTATTCTATGCGATTAGGCAGCAACTTCATCGGTTTATACGCGAAGTTTAACGAGAAATCGGATTCAGGGCAGATATATTTAAGACACAAAGCACTTGAAGCGAAGGCAAATATAATCGAAGGACAAGGAGCGATTTACGCCCGAATAAACTCGGACAGGTTTCTGGGTATGTATCAAGTTGGTACGATTCCTCCTGTAGACATGCTACCGTTCAACAGTTTTCAGAGAAACATTACTGGATTCGTTTTCCTCCGGTTAGAATCGGACGGGAATCTTAAAGGTTATTACCGGGATGGGTCGAAATGGATATTGGATTACCAAGCCATTTCTGACACGTGTGAGTTGCCTAATCCCTGCGGTTCGTACGGTTTGTGTAGAGCCGGGTCCGGTTGCTCTTGTATTGATAACCGGACGGATTATTCCTCCGGTTCGTGCTTTGAATCAACAAGTTCGGGTGATTTTTGCAGTGAGGGTGAAGACGATTACTGGGTTTTGAGGAGAAAAGGTGTGGAATTACCGTTTAAGGAGCTGATGAGATATGAAATGACGTCGTATTTGGAGCAATGTGAGGACATATGTGAGAAGAATTGTAGTTGTTGGGGTGCGGTATTCAATAACGGATCCGGGTTTTGTTACATTTTGGATTATCCGATCCAGACCCTGTTGGGCGTGGGTGATGAGAGTAAGATGGGTTATTTTAAGGTGAGGGAGGGTGCAGGGAAGAAGAAAATGGATGTGGGCTTTGGTGTTGGGATCGGGGTGTTATGTGGGGCCATAGTTGTTTTGATTGGGGCGATTTCATTTGGAAGTTGCAAGATTTGGATGAGGAGAAGAGGTGTTAAACAGATATTGGAGGATGAGGATGGGATCTCGCCCGGCCCGTACAAGGATCTCGCATCGGCTAGTTTTCGGTCCATTGAGATGTGTAACGCTCGAAGATAGATTTTGATTGGATTATATAATCAGTAAGACTACACTTACCGACTTTTTCCTACCGATTTTCTATCCAGATTGACGTGTTATATGCCTCTCATTTGCCCCATCAATCTACATCAAATCTGCCTCAATAATTTCATGCCACGTTAATCTGGATAGAAAATCGGTAGGAAAAAGTCGGTAAGTTTAGTATTACTGTTATATAATAGTGTAAATTTTTTCTTGCCTCATTTACATTGGATTGAAACATAGAGCGATTTTGAATGGTTTGATATTTTGTTAAAAAATTATTTTTAAACAAATAGTTGGAAACATTTTTGCACTTTTTCATCATAAATAGGGCGGATTGATTGACTTATGATTCAAATAGTTTCCAAAATTACAATAGATTCAAGTTTTTTGAATTATATCTTAAAATTTTTAATATTTAGAAATATGTTTGATATGATATTCAAAAACCTATTTGCCAATTAAAAATAGTAAAAAAAAACTAAATAAATGACTTTTAACCTTTTTACATATATATTTTACATTAGTTTTTAAAATTGTGTCAAATAATTATTTTCTGATATATTTCAACTTATTTCTACCAAGCGTAATAATACAACATATTTATACAATATTATGTGGTAAAATATGATCGGTTGATTTTAAATTAAAATTAAATTTTCATATAATCATCTTTTACCACATAATGTTGTATGTGTAATATTATTCTACATTTTTCATAACAAAAAAATTGTATTTAAATTCTATATTAAACGGATAACTCATTAATTCACATCTAAATTCACTTCAGATGACTTATGTTTAGTAAAAAAAAAATATATAGTTGTCCCGAATTCAGAGGGCTGCCACCCTTTTTTTTCTAAAAGAAAAAGGGCAAGTGGAATAAAAAAAAAACCAATTATATTAGCTATAATTAAAAGAGATTTATATTAAGTATAATATCATTAATATTCCATTTAGATATGAAATACATGTAAATTAGATTTTGATCTATGATTTTGTCTTATATGAAAAACGTTGACGCAAGGGATGACATATATATGGGAAGTGGGATTTGACTAAAATAAACATTGTTGAGATGATGATTGTCACTAACTTAGCAAGTTGTTCATAGTTTTTAATTATTTAATGAATGTGTTTTGGGTGGACCAAACTAATCCTATTAAAGTGTGCATTGCATATGCATATGCATAGGTATTGGATGGATTTTATGCAAAGATTTGACCATATAATCTATGGTAAGTTTGGTATAAAGTTGAGCTAATTCATTATAAAAAAAAAAGTTACATCTTTTGGGACGCACACCAAACATTCCTTCAACTGGTCACCATCAATATATTTAGTTATTTTCTATTTTGGTAGTTAATATCTTATTTAATTTTCAATCAAATCATAACATGGGTAAATACTATTCATCCCAAATTTCATATCCTGTGATACATCACTTGACATATGAATTTGAAACAAGTTTTAGAAAAAAATAGTATTATTAGTCACAAAGATATATAAATTTAATCATAAAAAAAAAAAAAAAAAAAAATCTCTTTTTGACGAATCTGTGGCAAAAAAAAAAAATCTCTTTTTGACGAATCTGTGGCAAGTTAAAACATCATCGGGTTATTATCGGCCCAAATGTTAATGAGGGCCCTTAAAAACCCAATAATTTTACGTTTCTTGGGCCGGATGAACATTGGCAACCCAATAGACAAAAGCATGAAAAACCTTTTCACCTCTCTCAACCAAAAACCCTAACTAGAAGGGAGACATAACACAGCCTCTTCCTCGCCTGTAACTGTAACTTCTCTTTTTTGATTGTAAGTTCTTTAGTTTTTATTTTTAATGATTTTGAATTCTAAATTGAAAGATATGAATATTGATTTTTTCGTTTGATGTTTTGTATGGAGTCGCGTTTGACGTTAACTTGAAGATAAGATGAGATTGGAGAAGTGTTGGTTCTGTTCTTCTACTGTATATCCAGGACATGGTATTCAGTTTGTTCGGAATGATGCAAAGGTAAGAATTTAATTATTTTTTAATGGGTTTTTAGTTTTTTTTGGTTAGATTACTGATGGTCCCTCCTTCTTTTCATGTCCTGTTTATATAGCTGTTTATACTGTTTTAGGGTTCTATCATACTGTTTAGATATAATAGATTTGGGGCCAAATGATTGTGGCGCTTAATTGATGTATTTGCTGTGTTATAGCCATTGTTTGAATCTTAAGCAATGAAATTTTGTTATGAAAGTGTGTGAACTGATAGTGAACAAGCAGTATACCAAATTTTTGGGACTAAAGTAACATGCCTGGAGATTTCAGACAAAAGCTACGAACCCAACTGGACTCCAAAGATTACCTTAAGAACTAAGATATAGTCGCAGAACTAATATATTCTAGACAGTTCTGCTTCTCATTATGATGGAACTGTTTTTCTCTATTTAGCAAAACTAGGAGGCAATGGTTTGTTCATGACCCTTTTTGTTTTGTATTTACTTTTGTAATATAGGTGGCAGCAACTCGGTGAGAAGTATTATTTTGTAATAGTTTGTTCAATTGGGTTCTTTAGGGAGCTTGGTTTTTGTTAAAGTCTTCACAGCCTTTATATCAATCTTTTCCTCCTTTTTTAAGGGATATAAAATTTCTCTGCACTTTAAAGACGTCTGAAATTTGACTGTCCCATAATTTTGAAGTCTCCTCCTATGAATGTTCTTTGAATGTCCTACTATTTCTCTCATTTCATGTTACTCGGATAGTAGCCAAATGCAGACAGTCCCACAATAACCATTGAACTTCAATATTTATTATCAGGCAATGTTTAAAGACTTTGCAGTGCTTGCTTAGCAGAATTTTAAAATATAATATCGAACCAGATTATGTGTCTAATAAAAGGCTTTGGTTAATCTTATGTTATCCTTGCAATGTGTTTTGAATGTTCAGTTATCATTGGCTGTGTCTCTGGCACCTGACAAGTGATCCTTTTGCAGATTTTCCGATTTTGTAGATCCAAATGCCACAAGAACTTCAAGATGAAGAGAAATCCTCGTAAAGTAAAATGGACCAAGGCCTATAGGCGGTTGCATGGGAAGGACATGACACAGGTGAATATACTTGGTTTCATTATCTTGGTTTGCTGTCTTTCTAGTTACACGAGCATTGTTGTTTGAATGGTTATAAAAACATTGAATGTTGATATTTTTTTATCATTGTTCCAAGGACTCTACCTTTGAATTTGAGAGGAAGCGTAACAGGCCAGAGAGATATGACAGAAATCTTGCTGAAAACACTCTGAAGGCTATCAAGAAGATTGATAAAATCAGAGTAGCCAGGGAGGAAAGACACCATAAACAGAGGTTTGCTTATCTTCTTTCATTGTTTAAGCAGGTTTTATCTACCAATTGAGTTCTGATCAGAAAATTCTGGCAGGATGAAGGGGAAGAAAACCAAGGAACAGAGAGAGGCTGCCGTCGAATTGGAGCAAGGAATCCACCTGGTCAAAGCCCCATCTGTTCTTGCACAAGATCAATCTCTCACCCTTCCGAAGGTCAAAGTCAAGGTCACTCAAGCACAAGCAGAGGAGAATCATGCTATGGAAGAGTAATTTTAGTTTTTGGGTGCATTCTTGCTCCTCTCATTTGTTATATATACCAAAAATGTCTTATTTACAGCTCTTTGTTCAAGTGTCAAGAAGTTTGCTGTTTGTTGCAGCGAAAGTTTTCCCTGGAATTTTAATTGTACTTGCTTCATTAAGCATGTTCTTGTTTCTTTGATAATGTCATTGTGTTTGTACTTCATTTTTGGTCTATTTTCTTTGGATGATGATGATCATAGCTCGTTTCCTTTTTGCCTTCATTAGAAAATGGACTAGTAAGATTGGAAGCACAAGAATTTGATAGCACTAGAATGTTTGCATATTCTTTTTAAGGGTATTTGTTCTGTAAGAGGTAAAGCATTTTTTCTTTTCGTTTTTACAATTGATATGATACATGACATGTTTCATTATCTCTAATTCATATTTTTTCATATCTCTGAATTATTAAAACACATTTTGCAAACATTTCTTAAGTTTGGTTGGATTCATATAACAAAATAAAGATTAATGTGCTTCTAAAAGCACATCTTTATCATCAAGCCCGTACAGTCTCCAGTCAACCTTAGGGAAGTGTATTTTGTAGTTAATTTTTCTCTCAATCTTTCTTGTTTTTTATGGTCATTTTCTTAATTGTGTGGATTTAAATCAATTAGTTTGGTGATAAGTTGAACTCTCTGATTTGAAGACAGTTTGTGTTCAAAATTAATTCTGTTTTAATTGTTTATCTGTGTGGATTTGTTAGATTGGAGAAAGAATATATATTTGAAAATGATTTTTTTTTCTTCTAACCTCTGAAGTCATGATGTGTACGTTAATGTTTGATAAAATACTCTAGCTTATTCACCCACTAGATTTTTATAAAATCTTTAGCATATATGCAAATAATAATTTGGGAACAAACATTGATTAACATATTAAATTTTGTTTACATAAATCTCTCATAGGTACTGATGGTAATATGCGTAAATGGGTTGGGTCCCTGCAGGTTTTAACCCATTTGGGCTACTCCATACCCAACCCAATCAGAATTAGGGTGATATTGGGTTGTCCCAGTTTTAACCCATCTATTCGCGGTACCCCATGCCCAATCTATTACCCAAACTTAATTTAAGAAAATATTTATAAAACAAAAATTAAAGTAAATCAAATTTTTACTTGACTTAAAAAAATGTCATAAAAATATTTATAAACATAGACCACCTGCCACCCAATCAACAACCGAAGAAAAGAGAAATCGATTGAAGGATGAGCTTTAAAAAAATTTTACTTGACTTTAAAAATTTTTATAAAAATATTTATAAACAACTTAGTTAAGAATAATCACCATCAGACAAAAATACAAATAAGGCAAAATGAAATTTTTTATTTATTCATTATGATCTGGTCAACCGTCGGTTAACTGATAGTTAATATTAGTCAACAAGTGGTCAATGTTAGGCAAAGTGGTGCTTTGTGCCACCGTTGGTCCCATTGGGACCGGATGGCCATGATTTATCGGAGCTGATGGTTTTCACCACATTCCGACACTTGTTTAGTTGCAAAAGGTGGCAAAATCTTCAACGGCCTTTTGCGGCCAAATAAAGTGTTGAAATGTGGTGGAACCATTGGATTCCAATAGAAAATTGTTGTCTAATCCCAACTGGATTGGCTGTGGTGCAAATGTGTCGCATTTTTTTGGTGTTGACGGCTAGTTGACTGAGAGTTGATCGACATCCATTGTTGGTTGATTGACGATGGTGGTTATTTTTTTAATAAATTAAATATCTGTTTAAGTTTACTTCTAATTGAGAGAATGACAAGAAAATGACTTTTTTTTTTCTATAAAAGCCAAAAAAGAGCAGTTTTTGAAAAAAAAAAAAAAAAAGACGGTCAACAGCCCAAATACGTTTAAATTAAGTAGAAAATAAGTACAACATACAAACTGCAAAAATGTCCTTATCTTATGATGATATATGATTCATATAACATTTTAAAGATGAAAAGAGTATTTAATCTTTAATATGCACCAATAAAAAGAAGATCGTTGATCTAACAGTTTCCTTTACAAGGTTGTCACCATCCTTTTGAACTAATTTGTAAACATTTTACTTCTGGTTCATTCAACCTCAAATCCTTATTTTACTTACAAGGTTGGCCGCATTGGGGCACCTTCAATCAGTAGTGGTGACTGTTAGTTTATTGTGAAATTACCCTTAAAGTGCGTTTGGTACAGAAAATGTTTTATTACTACAAATGTGAGATTACCATTGAAAAAGATTATCTTGAAGATTATAGAAGAATGTTATATTAATATGTTAAGTTAGATTTGTGGGTATAAATAAATAAAATGCTGGTTGGGAAGAACAAAATATTATCGATTGAGACTTTTACTGAATTGCCCTTCCTTTTTAATATTATTATTATTATTATTATTATTATTATTATATAACCCCCAACATTTGAGAATTTAGCTAAAACACCCCAACAACAAAAGTTTAAATTTTAACAAAATACGCCTAGCCATTGCAGACGATTGCCAACCGCTGACCACCATCGTCGGCCGCTGGCGGCATTGCCAGAACGACGCATGACCGATTGGATATGGCTGACCGTGCACCGATTCGGCTAGATCGAAGGTCGAAAACGGCTAGATGGCCATGGATCAAGCTATTTTTGGCAAGATCCATGATAAAAAATGGTTGTATCGGTGCATGGTCGGTCAGATTTGGCCAATCATGCGTCGTTCTGGTGACTATCGATGGTGGCCGATGGCCGTTTGTAGTGGTTGATTAATTTTGGGTGGTATTCATATAAATAGTGAGGGGCATTTCTATCCAAAAATTAATTTATGAGGTTATAGAAGTCATTTTGCACAGTTGTACTAATTATTATTTGGTAGACATACGACGACATTTGTGTCTGAAATATTTTTTAATTAAGAATAAAATTGGTATGAATAGTGGATTACCCCAGTAATCTTTTAATAACACCCCCTAAGACGGTAATCTAATTACCCCTTGTATCACCTATATTAAACACTATTAGCTTTGCAATATTACCGAAATCTTTTATTATTTAGTAACCAAACATGGGAATGTCCGAAATTAAACATAGACTATTGGAGTTATCTTCCTACAGCCCTAACCAAACGTGCCCTTAGAAAAATGATTCTATTTCTTATTGGATTAGATTAGAGTGATTCTATTTCTTATTGGATTAGATTAGAGTAAGAATCAAAAGTGCATTAGAAGTTACACTACAGGCCTTGTGTCAAGACCTAAAATCTGGATCTTGCAAATTAAGCAAAATAAAGATTTGCTAATTGCTAGTGTTTTAACTTTTGATTTTGTATTTTGTTAACTAATATATATTTTTTAATAAGGATTTTATCACTTACCTCCCCTAAGGTTTTCATAAATTCTCAGTTACATCCTTGTGGTATAAGAAACCATCTAAGACCAAGCAAACTTTGACATTTGAATAAATTGTCACTAACCTCCAACCTCCACTAATATCCTCCTTTTTTTTTTTTTTTTTTCCTAAACATCAACTGTTAAGTCAAGGGGCAAAATTGTCATTATAGTTTTTAACACAAAATGGAATTAAAAATTAATTAAAAATTAAAAAAAATCTAGAAAATTAGAAATAAATGATATAAAAAGTTGATATTGTTGTGTGTGGTTTTTCCGCCAAGCTCGGGCCAACGTGAGGACATATCTCGACCTAGAATGAGCTCAGTAACAATGATTGATCGGCCCAACATAAGCTTGTCGAGCTGAAGCTCGACCCAGCACAAGCAAGTCGCGAACAATTCAAGAAATCATTCAATCAACTTGCATATTATTTCAGATCCCAGATATTACGAGAATGACTAGATCAACCGCGATCACTACGCAATCACAGCGCCCAATCGCGAGAATATCAGAATTGCGATTCAGATCAATTGTAATCCCCTTAATTTTGCCCTTTTCTTTGTATCAATCTTGTATATAAACCCCCTCAAACAATGAGGAAGGGGTTACAAATTTCACATAGGAACTATATTGTAAGCTCTCACAGCAAATACAAAAACAATGGACGTAGGCTTCAGAGTTAACCTTGCCGAACCATTTTAACACTCTCATTGTCTTTATTTTATTGCATTCCTTTACATACATTGCTGATTATTCTTAATCACGCACACATCAATTCCGATCTCGGTAAGGTCGATCGGATCTCGCTGGTTGGTGCAGATTTCTGTATCAACATTTTAGCGTTAGAAGGAGGGACCTCCGCCAATATCTCGAAGATTCTGGCAAACGTCCACCGCAATTTACTTGTCCTAAGATCAAAATGGTATGCACCAGATCAAGAACTACTACAGAAAATCACGAGAATGTGGAAACCACCCATCAGGAGGTGTAATAGGAGAACACTGGGCGTTGACCACCCGTGCTGCTAACTCAGCACACCACAAACAACCAGGGGGCCGGGACGTCAAACCCCGAGAATAGCCAGCTGATGGAAATGATCAGGACAATGGTTGTACAGGTGGTGCAATAGAACGTGGCTGAGCTGAAGAACCAACAACCAATTGCCCAGAATCTTGACTAGTCGCGCTTCACTAACGGCACCCCAACAGGTATGAATTTTGTAGGTGGATAGTCCGCTTCATCGTTGCTAAGGGGCGATCAACACCTCCAACCTCGTAGGCAGCACTCCACGCACGAGCATGAGTCCCGCGGGCAAATGAACCGCAAGAGGCGATTAAGGAAGCAGCCGCTGAGGAAAAGCGAAGGCGACAGACACAACCAAGAACCTTGGTGGTATCCCCAATGTCAGTGTGCTGATTTTAATCCATGCCCAAAACTAGATCGATCTTCACAGGCTCGCGAAGCGAGCCGTGTGCAACAATCTGGCAATAACCAATGTTTCGGTTATGATGGATGTCACGAACAACGCACTGAGGAGCATGATCACACCTACCAACCTAGCCATCATGACTCGACCTCGCACATCAACACGCGCACCAGAGGTGCTTGAGGTACAACTTAACAGAGCTAACCAGGGCAACCAAAGTGAAGACTTATATCGCATGCAACTAAAAGCTTGCCAGAACAACCTGGCGGAGGAAATAGTAAGTTCCCCCTTTACGGAGGAAGTTCACCAGGCTCCGCTCCCACAATGGTTCAGAGTGCCAGAGAGCAAGTTCGATGGGAGAGGAGACCTTAGAGATCACCTCGATAACTTTAATG